TAACTTATAATCAATTTTAAACTGAATTAACTAAACATGTAAACTTTTTATATAATATGATATGAACTAGGTTCATGTTAGTATTTTAGTTAATTAATTATTTTTTTTTTTGTGTTCATGCGTGGCTATTGTGATGATGTGACGATGGAAATGGTAGTGAAGTAGTTGCGCAATTTGAACAGCAATACCAACGTTCCTCTTGTAATTTCCGCCTTCAAAAACTATCTATATTCGTATCATATGCAAGCTCTGATTCACCATTCTCATTCCCATTCCCTTTTCCTTCGCCACGCTTCTTCTACTTCGCTCTCTGCAATGTCTTCCTCTCTCTTTCTTCAATCAGCTTCCTTCCTCGCCCCTTCCTCCAATGGAAGAGCTACCCTCCCTCTCCCTCGATCTAGGGTTTCCATGAGCGTCTCCACCGGATCTCAGCCTTCCGTTCAACAAACTCTGTTCGCCGATTACAAACCCTCCACTTCATTCCTCTTCCCCGGTCAGGTACACTTTCTCAAAACTGCGTCGGTTCCAATTCCCAATTATGCTAAAAAAAGCATACACGACGGTTTGGATGTAATGTTTCTGTGATTTCAGGGTGCTCAAGCTCTTGGAATGGGGAAGGAAGCCCAGAATGTGCCTGCTGCTGCACTTTTGTTCAGCAAGGCAAATGACATATTGGGGTACTCACAAGTTTAACTCATAAATTATACTTATTTTTGTATTTTTTTTGTGTGATTCATTTGGCGTGCTTTCTGCTTTCAGGTTTGATCTTCTTGATATATGCATCAATGGGCCAAAAGAAAAGCTAGATTCAACTGTCATTAGCCAGGTGTGGACTTCAGTCTCTTTGTTAAACTGTTATGTGTACAGTACAAACTGGCTATCTAGGCTGATTTTGGATTTCAGAACGGAGAGAAATAGTGCAGAATGATATTAGTTTCCATTCTTTAGATTGCTCTGTATATAATGGAATCGATTTGATTGGAACCTTATGAAATGAAATCTGTTCCATATCATTCCTTCCAATCCCCCAATTTTGGAGACAGGATGGAATGATGACTAATTCATCATACATTGACTTCATTATTGTACCATTCACTTCACAAACAATTAAATTTTCCTATGTTCTAATATAGAGTATCCAGACAATGGTACAGTAATTGCGTTCCATTCCCCTGCCCCCTTCTCATGGTCAGTAACGGATATAAAAAAAGTTCAATAATGTTGTAGTGAATTTTCATTTAACTCAGAATAAGCTTTAATTTATATTGTGTACTAATTATTTATTGGTCAAGGTACTCTTCCTTCAAATACGAAAGAATCTTTGGACTGCTATTTGTTGAAAAATAAAAAAAAAGCGTGCATGCGTTTTATGTGCGTAAATGGCATATAAAAATAGTGTGCTGCCAATTTTCATCCTGTTTGTGAATTGTTCAATAATTAATCTAATAAGTATAGATATTTTAAAATCTGAAGATGATTCCAACATATTAGAACTTTGGTGAGTAAGCTTATATGCTAAATAACAGCTCTAGGTTTAAATGGTTGGAAGTTGAAGGGTAAATATTTCTGGTGGATCACTTCAGAATCTAAGTTCAAAATTTTCAGTAAATTTGTACCCGTAGCTATATGTTTCAGAGTGGCACTAAGTCATTCTTGAAGTTCTTGATCCTGGGAGTCAAATTTCGCCTGAACCACTTTTCCTGTTCTTCTGCATCCAGTTCCCTCCTTACCTTACTTTTAGATCTCCTTCTCTGTAATTAAGATTATTTTTGAAGTAAACAGCTGTATTGGCTAAAAGTTTCTTTTCTGGTTACCGTACCAAGCCCGCATCAATTCATAATTATGTTATTGATTAAATTTCTATTTTTAATTATGCCATAAATGCGATGTTTACCATCTGATTCTTTGTTTCAGCCTGCAATTTACGTCACAAGTCTTGCTGCTGTAGAGCTACTTCGTGCGCGTGAAGGAGGTCAGCAGATTATTGACTCTGTGGATGTTACATGTGGTTTAAGCTTGGGAGAATATACTGCTCTGGCATTTGCTGGGTCTTTCAGGTGAGTAACGGAAGTTAATTACTATTTATCAAGAAATCTTCACAAAATAAAAACATTATGACTGGTGATTGTGGCTTGTGTGCCTGTTCATTTTTGGGGCATGGAACTTATGTGCCTTGAAGAAAACTTTACTTTGAGTCTGGCAGTGGATGGTCTGTGTTAGTGACCCAACCATGGGTTTTCTGAATGTGAATAATTGACTCAAGGTTTTCTGTTTGCTTCGAATGTCATCAGTATCTTGCAATGAAATTGTTTGCAGCCTATGGGAAAAGTATATGAGGAAATGAATATTATGTAACCCCTGTAGTTTTGAACACGAGTCATGTGCCCAAAATGTTCTTTTAGTGGTTTTACTTGAGGTTCAACTTTCTAAAAATTGACATGCTATTGACCCCATTTATTTAATTTAATTTTTAAGCTTTGAAGATGGACTTAAATTGGTCAAACTGAGGGGTGAGGCCATGCAGGTAAGCAATATCTGGTAGCTGGTCTAGCGTCTTATTTCACTTCGAATTGTCTGCATTCTAATTGGAATATATATTGGGGAAAACTTTTTTTCTTTTTCCAGGATGCCGCGGATGCTGCTAAAGGTGCAATGGTTAGTGTGATAGGACTGGACTCCGAGAAGGTCCAACAATTGTGTGATGCAGCAAATCAGGAAGTTTCTGAAGTTGACAAGGTTCAGATTGCCAATTACCTGTGTCCAGTAAGGTTCTTGTGAGTCTACCTATTTACTGCTTGGGAAGAAGTCATTTTCTAGATTTCTTAACCATTAGTTGTTTTGGTAGGGAAACTATGCTGTCTCTGGAGGATTAAAAGGAATAGAAGTGGTGGAATCCAAGGCAAAGTCTTTCAAGGCTCGAATGATAGTATGTCATTGCTCCTAATCTTCTTCTTTCCAGTGCCATCTTTCCTCAAAGAAATAATGCCTTTGTGTCTCCGTGGCAGGTTCGCCTAGCTGTTGCTGGTGCTTTCCACACTAGTTATATGGATCCAGCTGTGTCAAGATTGGAAGCAGCATTGGCTGCAACAGAAATCAGAACCCCAAGAATACCAGTCATCTCCAATGTGAATGCGCAGCCGCATACAGATCCTGTCATAATAAAGAAGATATTGGCACGTCAGGTACCGGTCATACTTGTTTTTGTCCAAGATGACACCATGAATGGGAAATAATTGCATCTGTAATGCAATTGGCAGGTTACGTCACCGGTTCAGTGGGAAACAACAGTGAAGACCCTTCTAACCAAGGGTCTGAAGAAAAGCTATGAATTGGGACCCGGAAAGGTAGTGTGGTACTAGTATGGTAACAACATTGTGGAACTGCTTAGCTTTGGAAGTTCCATAGATCTGAATATTGTTAATTGTTGTTTTACTGAACTCATTTCAGGTTATTAGTGGAATTGTCAAAAGAATAGACAAAGGCGCGGATATTGAAAATATTGGTGCTTAAGAAGGCACTAGGAACTTGCTCCTTCTGCTTCCAATGAACAAAAGTAACATAACATTTTTTACAAAAGAAAATGTGCGTGGGCTGAATCAAGAGATTGATTACATGGATCATGAAACTCTGTTAGCAAGGAGCAGCTACGGTCACATTTGAAGTTTTGAAGTTAAATTATAATTCACGAATTGACATTATTAAGAACGAGTAAGATAAAGTCATTGTACTCGGCTTTAGAAACATTCATTTCTTGTTATATTATAAAACGTATGTCGTAGTTAATTAAGCTTTGTGCTTCTGCGTGCCAAATGTAGATTTCCGCCTTTATGTTGGTTTAATAGTCAATAGAAGAAACGATCCTTATGTTACATTGTTATTGCAGGTAGATTGTGTAAGGCTTATTGAGAACAGTATTACTAAACCAGTGCTTCATACATACACCATAAATTTCAAGATATTTCAAAAGTTGATAGAAAATACTACCGAACATAGAAATTGTTAAGATCAAAATTTTCAAACAGAATCCTTTATTTCGAAAGCAATTATGCTAAATCTTCATTCAAAAACACATTTAGGATCTGTGACAACAAGGACAACGAGTAACAAAAACAAAATTATGACAAATTCTAAACAATGGAATGGAAATGGCGCGAATCTGAGTATCTTATTTTACTCAAGTGTTCGGCGATCCTCTCAATCTGCGAAGCTGATCAATCCAGCGATCATCGGGATCTCGAGCCGCCCAATCCGGAACCACTCCGGCAAAGGACACTCCGCGCATCGCCTCCATCACTCTCGTCGCGTTTTCCTCCGTGAGCGGCGCGTTCCGGCGGTTTTCGTCCTCCACCACCGCCCTATCGACCTCCTCTGTGCTGCTTTCCTCCTCTTCGTTCTCTTCGTCGCTGCTGCTTTTCTCTACGACATCGTTCAGATCCAGAGATGAGATCCCATTCTCCGTCACGCCGTGCACGAAGAATCCGTTCGGCAGCTGCCTGAATTCCCCGCCGTCGGAGCTCTCGTCGTCGTCCAAGGCAGAGATCGGCTGGTAGTATTCCGGCGCGTCATCGGAATTGACGTCTGAGTCGCTTCCGTTTCCGTTTTCTACGTATTCATGAAAGCGATTGAATTATTTTCCTGAGAAAATACAAAGAAAATAATGAAAGGATTATTTACCTTCGATAAAATCCATGGCGCCACCGTTCATTTCTGCAACTTGAAATGAAGATGAAGAAAGAAGACCAAGCAGTGAGAACGTGAAGTAAGAAGTAATTAAATTTCGAAAATTTCAAAAATAATAAAAATATTTTGAAAAACAGAAAAATAAACAAAAAACATTTGCACCAGCCGGGAATCGAACCCGGGTCTGTACCGTGGCAGGGTACTATTCTACCACTAGACCACTGGTGCTTGTTATACACTTTATTTTAATAAAAGTATATAATTATAAATATCTTCTTGGCAAAATCAAATTGACGATAAACTTCGATTTTCATGGCAGTGTGTGACGGAGAGAGAGTGCTGAGGTTGAAGCGGGAAACAATGGCAATTCCCATGTTGAGGGCTGTAATGATATCTCATTCTCAATCTCAACAACTCATTCATTCCCTATCTGCTATCAATGAAACTGCTAAGAGGAGGAAAAGAGTGGTGTTCTCTTCTTCTTTTTCAGAACTTAACCCTTTAATTCGGTGAGCTACTATTCATTTTCTGATTCTTGATGTGTTTTTGAACCTTTATAAAATATGTTTTTTGGTTTGATTTCTGTTTCTGAGATTGTAGGTCAGAAGTATCATTTTGTGTCGGGACTTGCCTCATTCCACATCCAAAAAAGGTTGTAGCAAATAGCAATCCAACTGAACTGAAACCCTTGAACATCAAGCCATTTCCATGCTTTGTTATTTATGAATAATAATAAAACATCATTGTAGACGCACACAACACATGTACTGTTGGTTAACCAAGTACTGGTCTTTGTTGCTAAAGGTTAACACAGGTGGGGAAGATGCTTTCTTTGTTAGCAACTATAATGGGGGAGTCATTGCTGTTGCTGATGGGGTCTCTGGGTATGCTACTTTCTTTTCTGGTTCTTGCACAGTGGAAGACTCGAAAACCAAAAAGAAAGAACCCCAAGAATATAGAAGCTTTAATTTTGATAATCCTTTGTTTCGTTTAAATGGTGTTGTGTTTCTTCTAATTGAGATATTCTTTTTTGTGAAATGGAAAAACCTCTCTTAAATGGTACTTTTCTGTTATGTGTCGCAGTTGGGCTGAAGAGGACGTGGATCCTTCTTTGTTCCCTCGTGAATTGCTTGCTAATGCTTCCAATTTTATTGAAGACGAGGAGGTAGCATAGCACAAACACACTTTCTGCTGAGGAATTTGCTAAATTAGAATAATTTTGGTTATAAGTACATTCATTTGTGAATTTAATGCTTTTCTTATCATTTTCATTGGCATATCAATAACAATGCTTCTGTGCATGTAATGCTGTTTTCTAACAAATCAACACATGTTAAAATATTTATGAATTTAGGTGAACTATGATCCTCAAATTCTTATAAGGAAAGCACATGCTGCTACTTCCTCCACAGGCTCAGCCACTGTGTAAGTTTATCCTATTTTATCTGGATTTCCAATTTGGAGAAAAGTAATAAAACATTGACTTTCACGTTGGATGTTTCTTTCTACCATTAATTTCCTCATCTGTACTTTTGTCTGAGAAGCATCGTTGCTATGCTGGAGAAGAATGGGACTCTGAGGATTGCTAATGTTGGGGATTGTGGATTAAAACTCATCCGTAATGGTAATATCCCGTGCTATATTTCATCCAATCATAATATTTTCTAAAAGATGCAATGCAATTTGCTTAGTGTATTTTAATTTCTGGACCTATCTTTCTCCAGAACACTTAATTCCTTCTCCAATGATTTTCCTTATGTGCTTTTCTTCAGGCCACGTAGTTTTTTCCATTTCTCCCCAAGAGCACTACTTTGACTGTCCATTCCAACTAAGCTCTGAGAGAGCTGGCCAAACATACCTTGATGCAGCGGTACCATTTAACAATTCTTGCTAGTACTATTGTTTAACCTTTTTTTCTTCTTCCACTCTATCTGTTTTGACTCTTCAAACTGTGCAAGATTTAATTTTTTGTTTCATATGTCAAATGAAGAACTAAATTGGTATTGTTATGATGGTGTTTTGAGCTCACATGTCAGTCAAACTGTTGGTTTTGGAGGGCAGAGACACCCCTTTATTAGTGTCCATGGGTGTAGTACCTTTATTGAGTCAGAATTTAGTACACCGTTTTCCAAAGGGGACAGTCTAATTTTCCATTTGAGATAGATGTGGTTCTTCTGTTATATTTTTCTTTTACTAACCTCTGCAGGAAAACAGGTATGCAATGTTGAGTTGATGGAAGGAGACACAATTGTCATGGGATCCGATGGCCTTTTTGACAATGTTTTTGACCACGAAATTGTTCAAACAATTGTTAAATACAAAGATGTTGCAGAAACTGGTATAAATACTTGATTAACCTGAGGAATTTTGATGATATTGTGAGTTTCACTGATTTGAAATTTATGTTGTTACTAGCAAAGTCATTAGCTAACTTGGCAAGCAGTCATGCATTGGATTCAAATTTTGATTCCCCCTATTCCTTGGAAGCCAGGTCTAGGGTAAGAAAAGATTATAATTGATTTCCTTTGCTTCTTAACAATACATATTTTTTTTATATAGAAAATTATATGTTCCTTATAGCTTTCCATCATTTGATTCATTTTGGAAAATGACTTCTTGTGAGGGAAACCTGTTTCTCATTCTTGGAAAGAGTTGCAACCACTAACCAGGAAGTAACTATCTATTTTTGTTGTGTTTTTTCTTTACAACTTTCCAGGGTTTTAAGCCCCCCTTATGGAAGAAGATTCTTGGAATGAAGCTTACTGGTATGTCATAAAATCTTCTAAAACATACCTCTTTTTTCCCTTACAGATAGCTCACAGACCCCTTTTTTTTTCTACCAGGTGGAAAGCTTGATGATATTACAGTAATAGTTGGTCAGGTTGTGAGTTCATGAGATTTGCTTGTTATGCATATGAAAGAAGACAATTTTTTTCATTGGATAATTTTTTTTCATAAACACTTGAAAGAAAGAAAGAAGAATTTCAGGTAAAATAAGTTTATTAATTTGAAATTTTAAGTGAAAGGCTGTTAGGCACATAAACAGAATATTAACATTCTCTGCCAACGAAAATTATTATACTGCTGTTAAAAGGCTGAGATCAAATGTATAAATTATTTAGTATTAAGATCAAAGCAATCTTTCTGTAAAGTAATACTTAAATGGAATTTTCTTGCTGGTCGAAGACTTTTTTTGGATTGAGTTAATAAACTAAACAACAACATCAAACAAAAGTAAGTAAAGTTGTTTCAATAAAGCAAATTGAATGTAAAGTAAAAAGTCAAAAATAGATTATAAAATAATTTGGTTTATATGACTATGATCTTTTTGGTCAATTTTTGAAGTGGTCAAATATAGACGTAAATCTTCAAATCCATTTTACATGAGTTCAAGATTTGACTATGTCAAAAAAGGAAACGTGGGTAAATGTTTTGGATAATATTTGTTTAAAAGTAGTTTTTTCTGTTGGTGTTTGAAATTTTATTACAGGTTTGATTCTTTTCAAAAAAAATTTCTAAGAAAGAAAGTTAAGTTTACTGTTTGGTGTTTGGTGATGATAGTGAAGATGGTATATTTTTTCTGGATTTTCTGATAAAATATTGAATATATCTTTGCAGTACAACCAAAACCAATTGTTTTACTAATTAGGTTTGAACAGGGGATCAAAGTGAAATGATATGGTTCACACGAATTAGTTTAATTAAAAATGACACGATTCTATTTGGCTTACTCTCCTGTTATTGGATCAAGTTATTTAAAAATGTTTTAATTTTTTAACTTATTATTATATTTATTATAGTACAATAGAATAAATTGATTGGACTCATTATTTAATAACAGGAACAGAATTAAACATCTATTTTATTATATATTATTTATTATTATAAAGATAATAATTAAAAGTTAAAGTGTCAACTTGATAAATAAATAAATTAAATATTAAATTATTTAAACATTGTTGAATATCATTCTAATATTTAAAAAGATGAAATTATCAATCTGCATAATTAGAAGTAGTATATAATTAAAATAAAAATTTTGTAAAAAAATATAAAGAAATTAATAAAAAATTATTCTTGGTGACTGGAGTAATTCACTTTCAATCTAATTCGAATTTGTTTAATTTCTAAATTAAATTTAACTTATATTTAAAAGAATTTATATTTCTTTTAACCTAACCTCTTTAAGGAAAAAAATACATATTTATTTTTTTGTTAGAAAATTAAATATAAATTGAAATTCTCATATTAAATAAATTACATTAGTTAGATCAAGAGCAACAATACACGTCTTTGTTTGCCTCAACAACAAATTGTTTTAGTCCAAGAGGGTAAATTATGAACACATCTTTCATTTTTGTGTAATGTAGTTTGATACAGTATATTTTTTTAGTATTGTCTTTTTTTGTTCATTATTGGGTAATTTTAACTTATCATATAGGAAATTTCATGTGGTAATGTTGCTTATGATTTTGGAATCAAGAACAATACACTTTGATGCTTATAATCAGTATTAATCAAAATATGGAACCACTACAAAAGAATTTGATAGATTACACTTATAACATTTATAAACTTATTTTTAAAGTCTAATTCAAATATCAGAAAAGCTTATTGAAAAATCTGTTTTTATTATAAGATTTTTAAATAATTATAATTTTACCCTTTTATAAATTTATTCACTTGGTAGACATACCCAAGCTTCTGAATACTATTTAACACACATTAAATCTCTTTATAACTCTACCAACAAAATTTATAGTTATACATAATTTTTTCTGACATTTTTGCTTAAGCTTCCAAGGTGTGAGTTATAATATCCTTTAATTTATGTAATATTCTATTCTATTCTTTTAATTAAGTTTTCTTTTACCCCACGTGTTTTATTATATGATGATTTAAATTTTCTTAATCTTAATTTTCAATTTTTAAATATACAAAAAAAATATATTAAATTAAAATTCATATATTCATAAAATATTATAAAATACATTTTAACTTTATAAAATAAAATAACATTGTACCAATCAGCCGTAAACAGAACAATCGACATTCAGTACTTGCAGACCGAACGGCTAAGAAGAAAATCGAACATCTAGTTTGTTATGAAATAAAACCTAATCATAGACAACTTAGGACAAAGTGTAATTGCTACCAATTGGATCGTGATTGAACCGCCTTTAATCAAAGACTCACTCTGAAATTTATAAATACAAGTTTAAAGTAAAGAGATAAATGATTGCATTTAATATCCGAACTATCAAACTCGGATGGACGCTAAAATGTTTCGTAGTGTAGGGTCGAGGTCGATTCCCACAAGCAATATCACAAATCAAAGTATACAAACGTCGTCCTTTGCTCCAAATCTGTTATAACCATTTGTCCAAGACTCCTTAGAGGGTATTTGAACAAAACTTTAGTATTGGAGCATCTTTTGTAACTGTCCTTCAAGTGGTCTTGGACGAATAACTATATTAAATCTGGAGCGAAGAACAACCTTTGAATACTTTGGACTTTGACATTGCTTATGGGAGTTGATTTTAACCCTACATTCTGAAACATTTAAACACTCACTCGAGTTCGATAGTTCATATATTATATTCGTATTAAATGTAATCACTTATCTCTTTACTTGAAACTTGTATTTATAGATTTTAAAGTGAGTCTTTGATCAATAACAACCTAATCACTATTCAATTAGTAATAATTACACTTTATCTTAAATTGTTTATGATTAGAGTTAATCTCATTAGGTTAAATATGTTTTTAGTCCCTAAACTATCAAGCGAATTTGTTTTTAGTCCCTCTTTCAAACTAAGCTACATTTTGATCATTCTCCTTAAAGAAACCATAATTTTTGTCCTCCAAACCCAACGGCGTTAAAAAAAGACCAAGGTGGCTAATAGTGGAGTTGCACGATTTTTTTTTCTGACATTGGTTAGTCTTTCTCAAGCTTTTCTCCCCCCCCCCCCCCACCCCCTCGTCTCCTTCCTTCCATCTTCCATTCCCTCCATCATCTTCACCAAATCCTCCATCATCTTCTCCAAATCCTTCAAACAAAGAAATCCATCACCACCACCGTAATTAGCATCTATGCCTCTCTCAACCCAACCTCCCCACTTAGCATCCCTATTCTATTTACACATGTTAGATTTTCATGTGTAAATAGAATAGGGATGCTGGGTGGGGAGGTTGGGTTAAGAGAGGCAGAGATGGTGATTGCGGTGGCAGTGATGGATTTCTTTGTTTAGAGGATTTGGAGAAGATGATTGAGGATTTGGTGAGGGAATGGGAGGGTGGTAGAGGGGAGCTGCGGACGGATCGTTGCAGACGGAATTGGGACAAGGGGATGGAGGGAGAAAACGCTGGATAAGACTAACTCAATGTTAGAAAACAATCGTGAACCCACCGTTAGTCACCTTGGTCTTTCTTTTAACGCCGTTGAGTTTGAAGACAAAATTATGGTTTCTTTAGGAGAAGGATCAAAATGTAACTTAGTTTGAAAGAGAGATTAAAAACAAATTCGCTTGATAGTTTAGGGACTAAAAACATATTTAATCCATCTCATTATAAACTGAACACTTAATTCTTCTGCTAACCCTTCAATATGTAAGTATTGAATATCCTAACCCTTCAATATGTAAGTATTGAATATCGAACATCTAGTATGTAATCTACCGGATAGTCATTTAATACAAACATCATACAAAATGATACAAATATTTCTTACCCTCCCTCGTATATATTTTGTGTGCTTATCAAACAAAAACTGTATGTGGAATTAGATTTGAGTAGAATTTAGTTTTATTCTTTTCAAACAAAATTTATAATTATTCATTTAATCGCAATACAAATAAATACTAGGAAGGGATAAGCCTGTCACATCTTTATATACCATACAAGTGGTTTCAAATTGTAGGGCACAAGCTGCGTCGTCACTTTATTTTTTCCTTTTACAATTTCCTTTTGAGAGACACTTTTGTTAAAAATACCATCAAACATAAACATAAAATATCTTCTTTCATTAAAATTTTAATTCCTCATTCTACAAGAAAATCTCTTTCACTAAACTCAATTATGTGATCTAAAACTCATATTCTGAACTAGATTGACGAAAATGTACGTGTTTTTTTTTTCTTCTATAAAAAGTAATTTAATTAGGTTATATTGTAATATTGGTCTCTCTTTAAGCTTTTATTATTTGTGATTTCGGTCTCCCGATTTTAAATTAAATTTTTTTAAATAATTCGTAATTTTGGCCTAATTATCAATTTTATATATGTTTCCCTCTTTGTTTAGAAAGAAAAAATATGTATTATTTTTATTTAATTCATTTTTTTTTGGTGAGAATTTAACTAACCAAAAAAAACTACGATAGCGAAAAACTACATATCACACAGCGTAAAACTACGATAGAGTTTTACTTTTTTGTAAGAATAACATACAATTTGTTTTTCATACATAGGTATATAAGTGTGAGATATTTTTGGAGAATTAATGTGGTGGGCAATTGTGAGGTTCGGCCTCTTTATCTCCAATCAATTGCTTTGCACACCTACCAACATAGTGCTGTCAATAATGCATTTCATCTCACTTTCTATTTAAAACTATTTTAAATATTATTCATTAATATTAAACAATAAATAAAATGTTATCTATTTTTCATTAATGAAGAATAATACGTTGGATACAAAACATTATTTTCTCATTATCTTAATGATGAGTGCATATTTATGTCCATATTTATGCTTTAAAATTCAAATTTTTATGGAATAATTATGCTTAAATGGTTTATTTTAAGTGAATTTGTGATGATTGGAATTGTTGGGTTTGAGAAATAAAGAGACGTAAAAATGAGTTTTAGCATTAAAGCAATTATTCTTGGTATGTTCATAAAATTGTTTACTTTGTGCAGTGAGATAAAGTTTTATGTCCAAATGCAAATCAAGGGCCCAAATCAGATTTTTA